GACAGCATAAAAATTTAATATTTATCTTTCAATCCGTTTGAATTACAAAGCGTAACCAAAAAAATTTCTTGCAGATCTCAACCTTTACAATTCACACAGAATGTTACTATAAATTGGAATTTTTTTTTTTTTTGTATCATTGTTTCATTGTTTATGGATATTTTAGTAAATAAAATCTAAAATAAAAGAAATTCGGCGCGTCACCTGTTTTTAGACTGTGCATTTCGGCTCGCATGCAATGTGAGCTTTGAGTACACAGATTTAATTCATCATTTTCACCTCCATTTCTTTGCCGCAGGAATCTATTAGACCAGGTATGGAAAATTTGGAGCCATTGGTCTAGTTGCTGGTGACAAGTACATATAATTCATGATTCAGACTTTGAGGTTATATTTCAGGTATATTAAATAAACAATAGTAATCATTTAAATGATCGTTAAGTTCCTCCACTGCATCGAAATTGCAAAAGGTATACGACGAATTCCACTCATCCATGCAGTCAGTAATGTTACACATGAAGCATTATGGATGTAAATACCGCTGCTGATTCTGATTCATTATGTGCAGAAACTAATAAGCATTCTAAACTAAAATCTAAAACAGTTATATGTGACTCTGTATTTCGAAAGCTAATTCACCCCACATATCAGAATTTGTAAGTCCTTTTACACAATTGAAAGACATCTTGACTTTGCACAGAAATGTATTTTTACATGATGATTTCCCTTGCACTGGGCAAGTAAGCTCATAAATCCCTCATGTCGGGAAAGCAACAATAAATATGAACAAAAGTAATGCTATAGTTAAAAAATCTGATGCGGCCAACTCATGATCTCCCGCCAGTTCCTTGTTTTAAATATCAACGAACTATAAACGAGTAAAAACGTATTTCTAAAAATATAATACCTAAATTGGCTACCAGTTAAATTTCTAATTTTGCCAGCATTTATTTAAATTTTTTCATCATTGTACGAAAGAATAATTGCTCCTTATATAGCATTTTATGCAAATTTATGTTTTAAAATCATACAAAATTATAAATGAGCAATTATGGTCATAAAAAATACTACAGATATGCCATTAAAAATACGTATAAATAATATTCTTTAAGTTTTACCAAAGCAATTACAACCAGATGGAGGACTTCGAGGACTACTTGTGGTACTTGTCACAGATTGAGGAGTGTTGGTATAGTGCAGTGTTTTGTGAAATGGTAACACTGTTCATGACAGGGGATGATGTGGTAACGTACCGTCCCAAAAGTTTGGCAAGACTTATCGATGTTTTTAACATTTAAAAAAGAAAAAAAAGAAACGGAGGAGTTTCAAAAAATTGAAATGCTTTTCGAGCAGGGATTTCTTTTGTTATAAGTAAGATAATATTAAAGATATAATTGTTTTATGAAGTGGAAAGCGAAGATATTATTTTAATTTAAATGTAAAAAATGAAATTGAAAGATTTCTTCCCCTGTCTTTTTTGCCAGACAAATCTTGTTGCATCTTGTAACAGACATCTTGTTGTATTTTTCAAATAAACAACGCGCAAAGCTATACTCGTATCATTCAATTCTAGCCAGCTATATCATCCACTAAGTCACTCGTACAGTCAGTCTAAAAATTAGAACAGATTCCATTGTTTCATCGAGGCCATCGTGACTATTTTATCACTGCCTTTATTTCGTCTTTGCTTATTTTTTGCCTAGTTTTCTATTCCTGCGGTTGCACAGAGAGTATTTTAGATGTATAAAATCCTACAGCAATCACAATTTTTTTTTTTTTTTTTTTTTTTTTGTGTGTGTCTTTTATCATTTACACCTTTGTTTTTATTTGTATTTTTATTTATGTTTTGTTTATATTTAATTTCAAACCTTTTCAAAAAGATTCACTTCATAAAAAATGGGGAGTTTCTTTTGAAATAACTCAAATTATCTCTCTTAAGTAGTAGATGGAGAATATTCTTTTTTGGGGGGGAGTGGCAAGAGGCAGAGCACGATGCACGGATAATGAGGAACTCAGTGAATTCTCTCTCTGTGTTTGTTGTACTGATAAGCAACCTATTTTTATCATAATGAAAATAAATGAAAACGATTATGATGCGTGGATTGATAAAAATTTCGATCTTGGTTTTGGAACCTGAACTCGGAAATGATATTAAAAAAATCTGATGTGTACACCATATGACTTATTTGTACGAAATATTAAATTATACGCATTTTTCTTGCATTTCATTTAAACTTATTAGATTGAATTAAACCTACTTCGCCGACAGTGCATAAACCAGAATAGAATAAATGCATTCTTTAAAAATTCACTTTGTTTACCATAGTGACACTCTGGCACTAGGTTTACTTAACAGTATTATATTTCATTCATATTATAACTCAGAATGCACAAAATGTATATCATTTAAATAATTATCTAATCGTTGCCACATGTTCTATTCAAATACTATAATAAAGCTAGAACAATGTATAAAAGAAATTAAGCAAATAAAACAAAAAAGAAACAGTTTTTTACAGACGATTGAGTATTTCTCATTTAATTAATTCAGTTCTTAGTTCGCGAGAAGGCAAAAATACATAAAAACTCAAAATATCTATATTAAAAATTACGAAGTAAATTTCAAACGTTTATTTCCTCGAAAAAATTCCAAAAAGAATTAAGCATGATTTAAATTGGCAATAAATAAAAAGGCGTTATCTTTGTTGTTGCGAAGCTAAAGTTTCTCTAGATTGGCAACAAATCCACTAGTCTCCTGTTTCAAATGTAAACATCAATGGCCGCCATTAAAAACAGGCTTAGCGGCAATTAAACAACTTTAAAATTGCTGATAATTCTAAAAATATTGCACACAGATTTACTAAAGGCATAAAATCCTTAACCGGAAGATAAAAACAATATAATTCAATCATTTTTAAAGGAAAAAATGTACAATTTACAAACATATAAGAGTAAAGAAACTGAGATCACTGAGCCGGGTAACAGAGTGGATATATATATAAATATATTTATATACGTTTGGTGCGGCCGATTGCAACCAAAAATAAGAGGTGCACATGTACATGTTATAGCAGTCCTATATACAAAATTTCAACGTTCTGAGGCTACTCGTTTTTGAGTTATGCGAGATACGTAAGTACGTACGTTCATTCGTACGTACGCACGTACGTACATACGTTCGTACAGACGCCACGAAAAATTCTCTTCAGAATTAATTTTAAAGCAGTTTTATAATTTTTTTGAAGGAAAAGAGTATTTTATTCTGTCCTTACGTACAGATATCACGCAAAAACATCGTTAAATTGCATTCGATAGCGGTCAAAATGGATATTTTCGTTGAAATATGCTGCCTGAAACTTTTCGCGATTACAATACTCCCTTTTTACTTCGTACAAGTAAGTAAAAATGATAATTTTAGAGCATAAATTTTTCAAGTATTAAAAATTAAAACAATGCGCAGCTTAGCTACAAATATTAGCCATCAACAATACAGATATTACTTTAATTTAGATTGCTGATTTAATTAATAATGTATGCAATTATTAATCTTTTTTTCCCTTAGAAAAAATTAGTATTATAAAGGGAATAAATTTTAACTGGTCCTTTTGTAATTTTCTTTTACGGACTTTAAAATTCTAACATCAAAAAATGTATCGGTTAAAAAATTTTAAATATTCGACAGTTCTAAAAAAAACTCTTCACCCTTTTATAAAACACCTTAAAAACAAGAATTATATAAAAAAAAATATTAATTAGACATCTTTTTATAATTTTTTAAAACGAACCGCATTTTTATAAGCTTTTTTCCGTCTGCTATACCCATTTGTTGCTACGGTCAAAGTATTCCCATTGCATGGTGCTCAAGGCCTTTGCCAACGACATGCATTATCTTATACTCCTTGCCAAGACGAATTTCGTTGGCTTGTTCTGATTCAAACAGAAGGGGGGGAAACCTTTTAAATGAAGTTTGCATAAAAATTTTAATGTAGTTTCCGAATTTTTGGCGAAATTTAAAGTATCACTGGATTTTTTCCGACCATTTTTCATAAATGAATTGTTGGAAATACAAAATGGTTTTAATTGCCAATGTGTCATGGAGTCTAAACAGATAAAACTAAAAAATGTTTATATAAAATAAGCTTTTATTTAAAACTCATAAAATAATTAATGAACTAAAACAAGAAAAATAATTTGTCATATAGTTTCATGGGAACAAGCCATTAAATTAATTCCTCTTAAAAAATTCTTCTATAATTTATATCGATAATGAATAATTCGTCCAAATAAAGAAACATATTAATCCAATTGCATTGCCAAAAGCAGAAGTCATTATCTTTATAAACTTATCAAAGGTGCCCCATCCTTTCATTATTCGTGATATAAAATTGTAAATGAATTTTGTGAAGAGGATTATTTAATCTCTTATTGGCATTAAACTATATGAAAAAGTAGTAGTATGGAGTGTGTAAATTTAAGTGTAAACAATAATTATTTCTTCCACTTCAGTATTTTAATGGAAAGGATAAATTCTAACCTTCAAATTTATTAATGAAGTATTTAAATAAATTTATTAAATACGTTTCTTTACTAACAACTAAAAAACATACGTTAAGTAAAATTTAGTTTCTTAGAAGAAGTTAATCGCGCTCTCATTATTAAAAAAGAAACTTTAAAACTGTTTAAAGTAAAATAGATGCTACCTTTTTCTTACATGATTGTTTGATAATGAAAAATGGAACTTTCCGCGTAAACCAAATGAACGAAGATTCAATATCTTCAAATAACTTTGGAATCATTAGCGAATTATAATCCGAGTTTTCCGATACCATGTCTTTTGAACAATTCCAAGTGTGTGTTATTCACCTCTTGAGCAACATCTGAAAGAAACTTTCTACGGCCTCTTGCTTAATTCAGACGGGAACAGGAAGACTCCTTTAGGACTATAAATGTATTTTCGGGCCATGTCATTCTAGAAGATTACTTCACATAAAATACAGTTACCTTTTCCGAATCTTTTTAATTCGAAAGTGTCTGCGTTCTTCTCTTGGTTTTCCTTCAGAGTTAACCTTAACTTCGACCGCAGGTGAACAACCTCTTTCTGCTCTGCGCAATCTCCTTCGATTCCTCGGTGAAATCTGAACACGAAGATCATTGTTCTTCTGCCAAGATACATGGGTGGGTAGAAGCGAAGGGGTGTTTCACCTGGGGGAATGCCTTTTCGAAGTCTACGCTTAATTAAGAAAGACACTTTCACCCTTTGTCTACATTCGCTGCGGCAGATCCTTTTGATAGATTCTTTAGGTGGGTATTCTGAGGTGAACCACGGTCTCGTTGACTGATGCCAGCAGGGAACAAAATTAATACACTTAATTCCATCGCCCTGGAGGCAACGAGAGGTTCATATTCTCTCATGTATTGATTATTCTTCAACAAAAGAACAATTACATAACATTATTTTCATAAATTATACATAAGTAGGCGTTATATAATATGTAAGACTGTTTTCAAGATGATATAAAATAAAGAAAATGTTGCATATATATTGTATAATACATGTTTTAATATTAATAATATATATTGTATAATAAACAATAGTCTATTATCTTCGTTAAACTATATGATAAGATTTTTCTCGTTTTAGCTCATTAATTATTACATCCGTTTTAAATAAAAGCTTATTGTATAAAAAAAATTTATTGTAACTGCATTTTAATTTAAACATGTCTTCTCTGATGACAGAGTGTTTAAAACAAACAATATCCTTCTATTATTTTAACCTTTATTTCCTTTGCTCTTTATTTACTTATTTTATTTTTTTATTTAAATATTACAAGGTTAAAAAATTAGCAGAATAACCGTTAATTACTCTTCGTCAGTTATTTTTTTATTTATAGTCTTTCGAGGAGGTTTTAGATTTTTTAACAATTTTTTGCATTAATAATTAATTAATTTTGCTTCTTTAGCATAAATTCCCCTTTATTTGGTATGGCACATATTAAAATTATCTTAATTCCTTATAATATATATATATATATATATATGTGTGTGTGTGTGTGTGTGTATTTATGCATTATTATAAATTTTAATATGATTGGTATATCCACTTTAAGTTATAAAAATTTTCAAAATAGTAAGGGATAATATTGTTTATATATGCATATTTTTATATTCATTTATATATATTAGAAGTCTTATATTTTCAAATAGCTTTATAAGACCATTCGAAAGACTAAATAAAATAATTTTACAAAGAAGACAATTAACTTACAACGATTATAGTAGTCTTATAGGGTCGAGAGAAACGAAAGATGTTGTTCGGCACCCAGTAATAATCCCAGTTTAATGTTTTAAATACTAAACCTTTGAAAAGGTCTCTTTGAAGCATTTAAGAAAGGTAACTGATATTTTTTATTTTTATCATCTTTTAATTTCCTTGTTTACATCCCCTTTTACCTTCTTTTTTTCGCTTTCATAACAAAAGTTTGATTTTCATCTTAAGCCTAAAATATCTTTCCACTTTTAAGTACTATCACCATTAATTGGCCCAACACATTTTTCTTCGGATAAGATAATTTTTAAAGAAATCAAATCTTTTTTAAGTAAACCTTATACATATTCATTTATATGTATTTATGTTTGTCGTAAATGAATATTAACATAATCAGAAAACAGTTTCTTCTTTTAAATTTCTTTTCATTTATTTTTACTCGAAAAATTGTTTGCAGATTGTTATGAGTATTTAAATGAAGGCGCTAATTGTAGAAATTTTTTTTTTTTTTAATTTTCAACTCGTATAATTATCAAAGATATAAAAATTAGTAATTAAGAAAATTTCAAAAATTTATTCATATTTACTTAGCTTTAATGTTTTTAAACGGATAAAAATTTAAATATTTTTAATTTAAGTTTATTACACTCATAAATATAATATCTGAAAAATATAATGCTTATTTTAAGCTATTTTTTTAAAGTGTAATGAATTAAAAGTAAACTAACGAGTCAAATTTGTGTTTTGATGCTTCATTATTAGCACTAAGGAAAATTTTGTCATCATGGTTTAAACAGATTTAGCCATAGGCAACATAATCCTTAGTTTGTTGCTCTCCTGCCAGTCATTTGGAAAATACCAAATTCTAGGGTAAGGGCAGGAGACTACAATATGTTCCGGGAAGGTTAGATTCACTTCTCCGAAGTTTTCTGCTGTAAACAGATTTAATTGACTTTGAAGGGACAATCCTCTTGAACTAAATAAAATCTGATGAACAAAAGCTGCGTCAGCATTAGACTTTGATCTTCTTCTTTCTTCCTTTCTTTTTTCCCTTCTTCCTTTCTTTTTTGGGGGTGGGCTTTTTTTCCCCTTTTTTTCTCACTCTTTTTTTTTTTTTTTTTTTGGAGGGAGCTTGTCTTTGAAGAGGCCTAATTGGCGTTTCTCTCTCTCCGTATTTTGCAGATTTCGTATTTGAAAGCAACTTAATTTTCTTTTCCTCTACGTATACAATCGAACTTCAAGGGACCAGAAATTTAGTTCTCTGTGTCTGATCCGATAAGAGAAAAGGATTATTTCACAAAAATATAAAAATTGAATGATGAATCACAAAAACACAACAACAAAAAAAACTGTTTAATATTATTACATCTACTAAAAGAAGTTAATAATGCTGTATTTCCACGCATATTTTTTCCACTCCCATATTTTCCTTTTTAAGTTTTAGCGCTAGGTTCTGAAAATTTTTTTAATTTCGCCCTTCCTATATACGTAATTTTTTCTCTGTGAGGGCTAATCCGTGATGGATAAATAAACATAACATCGGCCTTTTAAATATTTATTTTGAAACTTAATAAGGTTTTCTTGAATAATAAAAAGTAAATAATCAAAAAAGGTACAGCCATAATACAAAAACCGGCCGCTGGATGTGGCTTCTCGTCGGGCGCGACTTCACTCAAGTCTCTCTCTGCATAAAATCACACACAAAAACCTTTTTCTTTCCTTTTAAGTTAAACGTCTGTAGGAACGCTTCAGAGGGCGTCTTTTACGACATCGTCTTTGTTTTTGACATGTTGAGCACTTTGACCATTTAGCGGACATAAAAATGACAGTTTCGCCCGGAAACTGCCCAGGGGATTTCCTTAACTCATTTCCGCAGATATTTCTAACTGAAAATTAGTCTCTGGACAAACACGAAGTTCTCTAATTAAGCGAATGTTTATCAGAGGTGTGAATATTGTTTACACTAGTTTAACGGTAAATTATATTTTCTAATTATTTTTATTTTTATTTAAATTTCTATTTGTATTTTTGTATTAGAGTTTCATCTATTTTATTTTCCCTTGCATTTATTATTTGAAACACATTTTATGCAAATCCCCCTTTAAGCTGCCTGAACGTGGCAGGTGTTGTCACACACTTAAGTAACTTTCCAAACATAGGATTCCATCTTGCTTCTATTATTTACAATCCAAATGATTGCAGCCTTATCTATGTTTGCTGCAAATCATGCCTTTTGTTCAACCCTCTTTTCCTTCGTTCCACGGATATCCCTCTTTTGAACTGATGTTAAGGCTTATTTATGTGAGGGGCCCCTAGGGCATTACAAGGTAACTGAGCCTGAGCGCGACGCATCTGGCTGTTACCATTAAGTATAGGCTCAATATCTGTCAGATACTGTAGTGTTAATATAACTATGCATTCTTAACGAATTCTTAGTTTATTTTGATGAAATAATATTGTGATAGTTACCAGAAGTTTCTCCATGACTATTTTTCATTTGTTATGTTCTTACTCCAACCGCATTCTTCGAAATTAAATTACTCGCATAACGTTTCCTCCTTTGACTTTTGGATGATAAAATTAGTTAAAAAGGTGAAGAGTCGCGAGGAAGTACAATGTATATGTAATTTAAAAAGAAGCATGTTAAGATTTAATTACGGTTATCATTACTCGCAGCTATAAAATTTGTTGATTGTTCTTTTCCAGTTTCACTACACGTTAATATTAGTATAAATATCATTGTTCTGATCCTTCCCTTAAATCTTCCATTTATAACTATGAATAATCGATTATCCATAAAAATATAAAAATTTAAAAAATGAATAACCAAAAATATTGACGAATTTACCTTTTACTTAATTTGAGTTCAAAAATAATCTGTAATCTTCCGCTGCCATGAACGCGGATTGCAAGAGCATTTTTTCCATAGTTGCAAAGCAAAGATTAAATAACTTTATGAAAAAAAAATCTGAAAGATTTCAGATTTTGTATTATGCCCAAAGCGACTTTTTTTTTTAACATTTTGTGTGTTACCTTTATTTACTAAATATCATTTTCTTCCCACTTAAACCATAAAATTCAATCCAACAGCAGTATCACAAAAAAAGTGACCTCGGGCATAAAATTTTGGTGCTTGGAAAATATACGCGATGCTAATGTTAATGGAACGCTTTGAAATCGTTCAGTTTGTTAATTAAAAATTCGTTAAAGTTTTACCAAATATGAACCAGATAATAAAACTAATTCTCAATTTGGGCTTTCAGGTGCCCATATTCGAGTGGAGGACTACGTTATTTATTCAAAATTTGATGTCTCTCGGTACCGTTGTTTTTTCACAGTGCGATAAAAATACATGCACTCATGAAGAGTCTTAATTATTTAATTTCTTTACATATAATATAGGGCTCTAATATCTGGTGGCAACAATTTAAAATATGATTCAGACTTTTATAATGAACTAACGCAAAATGCCAAAATGAAATTAATAGCACTTCTGGGCAAATTGCCCCTTTGGTATAGAAATATCCCATGTCTTGCAAAAGACCAAAAGAATGCAAAACCCTTATTGGAAGGAACATTAACACGCACAAGACAAATCTATAAGGATAAAAATTTCATTCTCTGAAAGACGAATTATTCGTTTTCTGAACTGTAATCCAAGCTATTATGATTCATTGCTTCCTCTTTCCCTGAATAGCGAAAATTTCAAAATTTCCATCATCGCATCAGTCTTGAATAAAGCTAAATTTGATAATTCAGTCAAACATGAATTTAGTCAGAGAACCCATTCATATCCTTTGATTCAAAGGTTGATGACACTTTATGGCAATGGTTTTCAAATTAGGGGATGCGACTCAATTTAGGGTCGAAAGGTT